AAATTTAAGGGGGTCTGAATACTTTCCGTACCCACTGTAGGTAAAGACAAATGTATGGGCCTTAGAAATACATATCAAAATAGGCAAAAATTTATAAAGTTACATAGTTAATTTATAAAGTACTTGAATTGTCACTTAAGTTCAAAAATGCAAAAATCTTATACACGTGTGCATGTCCTGTTGCAAGAAGAAGAAAAAAAACCTTTTAAATGTGGATCCACTTTGTGCGAGTTAGGAATAAAATAACAGTAAAATAAGCATTGCTATATTTTATAATAGTGTATTATGATTAAGATATACAGTAAGTGTTTGTGTGTATACTATTACAAAATATAGCAATGTTTATTTAACTGTTATTTATTTATTATATCTAAAGTGTTACCGAATTTTCATTTCTGGATCAGCTGTGTAAAAACAGTGTAAGGCTCCATTTACAACAAAAGTGATAATTTACTATGAATGTGCTCTAAAACCAGCAGTACACCATCACATATGGCTTCCTTCATCCACACAATCCCAGTGTTCCTGGTATATACACTGCCTCGGTTGCCCACATATCTACAAGCACAGGAAAGAGCAAAAACTCTAGTCATTGCCATTCAAGATCTTCCCTAAAGAAAAGTGATACCTGTGCAGGTGCTTTCTTCATCCTTAAAGCCATCAGCACAGGTGAGGCAGTTACTTGCACCAGGTCCTTTGCAACCAGAGCATCTGATATCACATTCTGGGATATAAAATAAAAGTAACATTTTATTTATGCATAACTGACAGTTACTAACCATAACCCTAAACCTACAGTAAGCAAATGTTGGAAATTAATATTACTCTGTACTTATTGGTGTATGACCGTATATACCGTAATGACTGTATAAAGTATCCATCTTTAGAGATTTTGCTGTCACAGACCGCATGCAATTGCGAATTTGGGATGTGCAAGATGTTTAATAATTTTTTAATGCAATAGGGAGTGAAAAAGAACTCAATGCGGTACTCACGCACCATCATACACCCGAAGGTGCCTCTCTCAGACAGCATGTGTTTAACCAAAACACTGCATAGTCTTCACTGAATGAATCAAATATGAACTGATTCTTTCTAAAGATTCAAAACTGATTCAGTCAAGAGCAGTATGTAATATTTTTAAAAACAAAAATAAAATAAAAATAGCTATATCAAAATGCATTGTTGTTGTGAAATAAAATCTCATATCATGAAATAAGATGTTGATCATATCCTATGGGTTGCCAAAAATTAACACTGTATTTAAACAGACCTTTACAGGAGAAAGATCCTTCCGTGTTTAGGCAGTATTGGTTATCTTTGCATGGAGCTGGATCTTTGGTGCATTCATTGATGTCTGTAATGAAAAAACACAGGACCAATACAGGTAAAGACAAATGTATGGACCTTAGAAATACATATCAAAATAAGCAAAAATGTATAAAGCTAGTAAGTTAATGTAAAAAGTACTTGAATTGTCACTAAAGCTCACAACACATAAATCATATATATCATAAAAACATACACACACACACGTCCGGTTGCAAAAAGAAGAAGAAGAAAAAAAACAACCACCTTAAGTTAGTTAAGACTTTGGGTTGACAACTTACTTGCAGTTTTGGAACTAGCATGCCTTGAGCAAGCATGTTTTGGGTTAATAAGCGGCGAGTTTTAGATATACGTGATGGTAGGCAAACCCTGCTTTCTGGAACACACTCTTAGATAAAAATTGTCGTCATCGAATATTCAAAGTATGATGTTACTAATTTAGACTGTATCATCGCCTGATGTGGCTGCAAAAGATGTGTCAGGTTAATGCAGGTGCAAGGCCAACAAAGGCCAAAGCTTTGTGATTGAAGCACCAACAGATTTTTAGAAGAACCCAGGCAGGAACCGCACGTCTTGGACTAGAAATAGCCCCTAAATAGTGGTCAGCAACCTCTAGGAGGCAGAGGAAAGCAATGGTGGGGATAGAAGTAGGACAGAAGAAGATCTGATTAGAGCAGTAAGCCAGCAACAGCAAGGATGTTAGATCCATCTGCTACAACCTACTAAGTCCAAGAAATCCGATTAACCACCAATTCTGGTGGTACGGGACAGAGGATAACTGTCCCCCCTGCGAGGCTCCAAGGTCAAATTCCCAGCACATGTTGGCTGGCTGCAAGACTACCTTGGCGCAGGAATAGTATAGATGGAGACATGATCAGGTTCTGCATAAGATGCTAGAGATCCTTGAAGTATATGAAAACAGCCATGAGATGAAGTTAAAATACACTGATCTTGCTGTCAAGTGCAGGGAAAATGGACGGAGAACTACCATTTACTGAGTCCCCCTTGTGGAGGTTGGGTGTAAAGGACTCATGGGGAATATTAACACAGAATCTACTCAAAGACATTGAGATAGCTGGATCAGCCTTGAATACGTTTTAAAGGAAACGAAAGAAGCAGCAGATAAAGTAAGTTTCTGGCATCGATAAGAAAAAGTTATAAAACGGTGGTATCAAACTAAGCTCCTGGAGGGCCGCTGTCCTGCAGAGTTCTGCAGGACATTGGCCGTCCAGGAGCTGAGTTTGACACATAAGGGTTGAAAGTCACTGTCACTATGTCACTGTACTGCATCAGACTTATAAAGAAGGAATGTCTGGATGGGGAGGTAAAATGGGAGTTGCAGAGGTGGCAAGGAAATGGCTCACCACCAGGAGATATTCGGAGATTAATGGGGCAAAAAAAAAAATCTGTGAAAGTTGGCTCCTGGCTGAAACCTGCAGCTGGAACAAAGGCAAATCATTTATTTATTTTTCTTTTCCTATTCCTTCACTCAGAGTTCAGAGGTGCTTTTCCATTGGTATGTCAGAAAACAATACTTTGAATTAACAGATTGTGTTATAATATAATTGAGTATGAATTATTGTAAAAATGTCTCCAATAAGTAAAACACAATACCTATTAGATAAACATAGTATAGGAGTATCGAACATAAACAAACTGGTCAGAATAACAAAAGGATGACTGCAAACTATCCCTTACATAAACATCCATATCTAGACCATTAAATATTTTAGAACAGAACTATTAAAACGCATTCCCTATGTAAATGACTTGACTATATTAAAGGACTCTGGAATTTTAAAGCTTTTCCATGCGTTTTCCAGGCATTAAAATTATTATTTTTTTCTTACCAATGCATGCTCCTTCTTGGTCTTTCTCCCAGCCATTCCTACATTCTTTACAATCCTGATTGGTTCCTCCAGTGCAGCCAACACAAGACTCATGACACTCTCAAAAAACAAAAAGTAAATAAAAAGTCAAATTATATATAATCTCAATCTTACATTTTAAAGAATTTTTTTTAATTTAGATTTTTCTAAATTCTAAAACCTTTTTCCAAATTTCAGATTTTGAAATCTATATTTTCAAGGTGGTCTTAGACTTCTAGACCCCATTGTATATGGATAAATATATATTTTTTAGTTTTACAAATATTTTAACTAGGGGGTGTACTCAAAGCTGAATACCTCATTTGGAAAGGCACGGACAATAGCATAAAAACATAATGAATTCTACCAAATAATTAAAAAAATAAATATTTGTCATACACAGTCACGAGTTGTGCCTGCTGGATAACGGGAGAGCCAGGGATACTACAATATTATACATAAACTTCTAAAATCACTACAGAAAGAGTGTGCAAAGTGAATGGGTGTAAACTCTTTGAATAAAAGGAACATCACAATTGCAAATCAAATAGCAGTGTTGCTGTCTTTCGGTGTCTTTCAGAAATCAGAACTTAAGTAATATGAACTAAGATACTGAATATTGAAAATCGATGTGATATATACGTTCGTCTCAATTTCTCTTAGAGCTGGTCCATAATTTATGTATTCTATATTTGTTCAGATTTGTATTATGCATAGTAAAAGTTATTTGTAGTTTTCAGCCACTGAATATTGTTCTCTAATTTACCATTTCATAAAAAGTCCTCTTATTTGAGGTTGTGGACGATTGTCCAGACATAACTCTGTACACAAAGTTCTTCTGGAAAAATAAATGTAAAATAATAATAATTATTATTATCATCTTTTCCTTTGCTTAAAAAACATTTTCTTTAATACAAGGCATGTCTGTCAAATGAAAACAATAAAAGAGACAAAATTACACTTAAAACAAACTTCTAATGTAATTTTATGAACTTCCAGTGAAGTCCCACCTATTTCTGGTTTTATCAGAATACAGATACAAATAATTTTGAGACTGCTACAAATACAGATATTGGCTACACTGCACACCCCTAGTTATAACTATGAAACATATGATGCTCATCATGCTTATTTGGTGTGTACCTTTGCACAAGGAGAGTGTATCATTCCTCAGTGCACTAAAATAACCATCACTGCAGTCCAGACAAAACTCCCCTTCATATCCCTTATCACAACTGCACTTCCCATTTCCAGCCCTTGTTCCATCTCCATCACATTTGCCATTACCATGGCATGGTTTGTCAGCTCCTCCAATGCAAGCTTGAAATAATGCAAAACAAGAGACAATTTTACAAGTTTTCATAATCTCAAAATGGGGCCTTAAAGTCTGCAACAATGTGCGTACATGAATGGAAATGCTTCTAGCTATACAAACTTAAATCCATGTGTTCTAAAATCATATCACAACACCTTGCGCAAAGCATATACTGTATGCATTGGATTCACAGCATTGCCATAAAGGGGTACAACAGAAGACATTATAAGGACGGTGTTCCATCAACCAATTTTTTAAAGCTGATTTTCAGTGGTAAGCTTCATTTACATATCGGTTTGAAAATCTGTGGTAGTCAATGTGAAATTAGTCAACATATTACAAGGGGACATGGTGATGTAACAAAAGAGGAAAAATTATTTTTCAATCCATTTGAGTTCCCTCACATAATGCTTGCGTTCCCCCAAGAAACTTTGCATTTGTTTAAAAAAAAAAAAAACTTTTGTTTTTGCTAGTAAAAGTAATGCATTACCCCAATCAATTTTGCGTGCAAAAGCACTGCAATATAGTTTCCTTCATCTCAATGATTTCCATCAGCACATCCCCTTAAGGGCTCCGCAGCTTATAGCTAGCTACGTGAATCAAGTTTAATGGAACAGAGATTTGGAAGTAATTGTTTTGTCTCTCTTCAACACTGTAGTTTGTTACTTGTCACAGTAATGCAAAAACACATGTTAAATATCTACATAAGGACTGTGGACTTGCAATGCTTTGGCTAAGCATTTGTATACTTACTAAAATGTGTTAATTCAACACTTAGTACACTTACTGTTGCAGTCAGGACCAAATAAGCCTTTTGGGCAGCATACTTTGATGGTCTCTATACAAAACCACTTGAACAGATCAGGGTGTTTAGTTTTCCTGCAACAAATGCAAAAAAGTTAGATTTCTTTTTATTAATCCGATTAAATACAGTGGGGCAAAAAAGTATTTAGTCAGCCACCAATTGTTCAACAAAGCGACTGAAGCCCAAAGTATACATACATTGTCTGCGTGCCATATTGTATCGCACACGCATAGTGCGCAAGGTGTAAATTGTGTCATCAACAGAGTTCACACAGACTGTCCTTATGCACAAATCTCCCAATTTTGGGATTGTCACATAAAATACAGGACAGCTGGTCACCCTACCCTAGTATATGGATGCTGCTGCTTTGTCTTTCAGAGCGGTATACTTATACGGGACACAACAGATGCAGTAAAAAACAGCTCATGCACGGTCAAATGAAGTATGCTCAGAAAGGCTTGCCAATTCAACAGTGCACAAGACATGACGGCACGCAGAAAAATGAAGTATACCTCAGCCTTGAGAATGAAGTCTTCAGGTATTATGGTTCAAATTCTCCATTTGAGTTCCTGACCTCTTGAACCACCACGTCTCAAAGTGTTCCTCATTTTCTTCCAACATGTGGTTGCACTCAAAACTGCTGCTGTCACACAAGCCCTCCAATATTTCCGTCAACCTAATCTCACTAAAAAACACACACATTTGTGAATTGTAACCAGTCTATCCTGATAATCTGGGTCAAGATAATTAACTACAAGAGTGCATTTCATTATTTCATTAGTGCATGTAAGTAAATATTGCTTTAAGATGTTTTGTGTCAATTTATAACATTTCCTTACGTCTCACCTCAATTCATATTTGGAGAGTTTTCGCTCTTCCCATTCTGTGTTTCCACCACCAAAATTTTGCTTCGCTGTTTTTTCCAGACCCTGGCAAAAATTAATATATTATCACTCAACATATCTAAAGTGACCCTAATAAGTATTCAGACATTTACAGTAAATCACATTTAAACATACATGTCTAAATGTACCTTGCAATATGATATCAACATAACATTTGTAAACAAGTGATGCTACAGACTTTCTAAGAACTAACAGTTTTCTGAACCATTTGTGCATAAACAACTGGTTTCAATATGATATGTAGTTTATGTATGAAATCAGTTTCCCTCTAGTTTGCATGTGTCACATATGGACACGTTGTACTAAGGTATGACAATATTCAGACAATGTTTGCCCAGTTTTGAACGGGAAAAGTATCGTTTGACCATTTTATAACTAACAAACTTTATTTATTCAAATGAATTGCTTTAAAGATGCTATTTTCTTCAAGATAGATCGATCGATACACAGAAAGATAAATAGAAACATACAGACATACCTTGTCAAAATTGTCGACTAATTGTCTGCATGTTGAGCATAATGCGTTAAAGTCCTTTGTATACACAGATCCAAGTGGTAGAAACAAAATAATACAACTCAAGCGAAAAATACTATATGAGTGTAACATGCTTTCTTGTCTAGCTCAAAGGTTGTCCAATAAGAAAACACTGTTTTTCTAGGTTGTCTTCACCCAGTTAAGATGCCCTGAATCAACATCTAGTGTCTGAAATTATGACACGTTTATTATAAAGATATGTAGATTGTCATTTTCAGAAATTTCCATGCCGCCTTCTCACCAGCTAGTCATTCGGATTTCCGCGTCAGCCCATCGGTAACATTGTGTCTTTATGTAATTGGAGAGTTCTCCTGGCCATCAACGTGTGAGCCAATGAAATGCCGCCACGCACGGGACAATCAAAAAAAGATATTTGTAAGCCTACGTCACAATTCGCATGCTGTCCGAACTATCCGAGATTAGTATTTGTGTGTCCAAAATAGGCTGAATTATTAATACCGGTATATGCCATTAAGTTGCAGACGATCTGTCTTTTCACAAGCACCGGAAAAAATTAAAACCTGAGTGGTTCATAATCAACATGTTAAGAACTGCGTGCTTTTTACGCTGTAAATTATTTTTATTATTTTCTTTCATTTATATGATATGAAATAGTTAGCACTATGTATTAAACCGTGTGAAAGCTACAAACAGAAATAACAATCATGAATACAAATATAGTGAAGATCAGATGAGAAATGTTGCATTGATCTGGAAGTATGATGAGCACAAGTGATGCTGCCATACCAGAAAACTATAAATTAATACTGTGCACTATTTATTTATTTATTTTTATATTTATTTATTTCCCCAGTTTGATTCTAATTTTTGACAGGTTTTCACTTTTTTAACTGCTAGGGAATCATCAGATGACATCAACGTTAACTTTAATGATATCCATGTAAAACATGAGCAAAGCTGACACTTTTCAACACTGAACTGATTTAGACTGAATAATGACTATTTACTATTGTCTTTTTAGAGCTGCTTTACAGCAGAACTGAATTTTGTTTGCACTTTTTTTCTTGTTTGCCACTGTAAAGCTGCTTTGAAGCAATCTGTATTTATAAAGTGCTATATAAATAAAGGTGATGTGACTTGACTTGCCTGTCCATTAAGAAACATAGGGTAGCATAAATTATATAAAATAAGGAATAAAGAATTGAGGAGTGCATATGCCAGAGGATGCACAAAACTATGCATCAAAGGGAGTCTGTGGGTAGTAAGTATGTGTTCTCATTCCTTGTTTGGGCCTTGTTAAAATATTGTGGTAGATATGAAGGGGAAAAAAGTTCATTCATCTAAGACCCGAACAATGAAAATATTTAGTGGCTAGCCAGGTAAGACTGAGCTCAGTTCGACCCCACTGTAGATATTCTGTACCTCAATCGGTTTGTAGCAACAGTTTTGGCACTACACAAACTGCTGCATCAAAGTTGCAAGTATTCAGATTTGTTGTTCACAGCTATTGCATTACTGGAATAGCTAAACCTGTGTCCACAAACAATTTGGGTCATTTCAAACCTAATAAGGCTTGAAAACAATCAAAGATGTGCTTGTTAATGCCATCAGAAAGCCAAGCCAATAGTCTCGCCAAATTGAAAAACTGTGCATTAGAAAGAAAAAAATATATTTATTTTTTAATAGCTGCAAGCAACGGCCATTGGGGTCCAAGCATCAATGGCTCATACAAAACGGTCAAACAATTGCCATGTAGGCTATTTCGCCAAATGTAAAATATTTTGCAAAGGCAACAATTTTCAATGAAACAATTACAGAAACACATGCTATACATGCTAAACAAAACACAGAGAAATTAATTTGTGTGTCTACTGCATGTTTATTCATGTTATTTACTGCATGTTGAATCATTTAGATAGAGAAAAGATTAGATGTTGAAAGTTTTCTTATCCTGTTGCTTCCTCTGTTGGACAACATTAGTATTACAGCTTTCATTCGCAAGTTGAAACACTATGGCTGCATTTTGTGCGCATACGGTACACCTTTTTGTAAAAATCGCAACAGCAGCGGCCGAGACACTTTTAACTTTAATGTGCGAGGCTTCTGAGGCTTCTGGTGTACAAAAACAGTCAGTGATGCAGCTTTATACTGCAAACTGGTATTTTGTTATCATGTTACTTTAATTTATTTTCATAATCATAAACACACTTTGTGTGTGGCGTCTAATACGTTTCGCACATTCACAGAAAATAGCGTACTTCTGCGTTGCAAAATAAGGTGGACAGGCAAGGCATATGAAAAGAATCACACATCACCGTATCTGAGTGTCTTGAGATGATTCGTGTGTATGGAAAAGGAATTTTTCGAAAAAGTAGCTGAAACAATTTATAGACAGAAGTGAAACCCAGAGCCGTGGAAAAACAAAACTTTGAATTGAATACACAAGTGAAGTAAAAAAAAACAACAACAACAAAAAACACCACAAGTCACAGAAAACGTTCGTGGCGCCAAGCACCGCCCATGTCATAACTTTGCGTTTCTGTCAATTTCTATTCTACCCCTTTATTTCTTTAGCTTGAACTTTTGCGCACGCGCCGTGGCAGTACAACTAGTACGTAAGTACAGATTCATCACCCATGTGCGCAAGATATACAGAAGATGGCGGTAATACTCCTAAGGAGTGAACGTCCATTGAACAAAAAGAAGAAGAAGAAGAAGTACAACTAGTGCAGTAGGTGGCGGTATGCACCTATGAAGTTGGTTCGCAACCCGCCATAAAATCAAAAGAAGAAGAAGAAGAAGAAGTACAACTAGTAGCCGGCTATGATGGCTCGAAAGGAAGCTGCAAATGAGCGTCCTCTCTTAATTTTTATCATCTGTATTGTATTTATACATTTGTTTATCTGTCCTTACACCAAAGTTGAGGAAAGTTTTAATTTACAAGCAATTCACGATGTTCTGTATCACAGATTTGATTTTGAAAAGGTAAGTGCTAAAATGTCAAAAACGATTATTACTATTTTTTTAAAATCATGTTTAACCTTAAAACAGGCATTTAACTATTTAAATTATAACGTGTTCTGTTTGTTAATCCTGTGTTTTAGTGCGTTAAACCTAAGCTAGAGATCTGATTAGATTTGCTAAGAGTGCTGCAGCTGTGACGTCAAACCCGGAAGAGAGTCCCGTGGTGAATTATTAACTGCTGCAGCACTCTGTTGTAGTGCTGGTGCTTAGTGTTGTATAGTATTGAAACAACTAGACCTACATGAAGACTTAACTCCTTGTTATTACTGTTTCTCCAGTATGACCATCATGAGTTTCCTGGTGTGGTTCCACGTACGTTTCTCGGACCCCTGTTCATATCAGCACTCAGTGCAGCAATGACTTGTATGCTTGCCCTCTTTCAAACACCAAAGTTTTACACTCAGATCCTCGGTATGTCTGAGATCACAACCTGTAGCTTTAGGCCTACATGAATCTCCTTTTATTTGTTTCAGTTTCATCTGCTTTATGTTATTCTTTGTTCCACAGTGAGAGGAGTTCTTGGACTATGTGTGATTCAGTCACTATGGCAGATGCAAAGAGAGGTCCGGAAGCAGTTTGGGTCAATGGTGGCCAGTCTGTTTTGCTTTATCTGCATCACACAGTTCCATCTGATGTTTTACAGTACCAGAACCCTCCCAAATGTGTTTGCTTTGCCTTTAGGTACAGACTCTATAAAGTACAAAGTATTGTACAAAGTATTTTGGAGCAATATTTAAAGTTTTCTATTAGCCGTTTTGTTATTTTGACTTAGAAAACAAAGCTAAAGCAACTTGACTTGCTGACTTGCTTTATGAATCATATTCATAAAAAATTTCAGTGTGTAATGGCATCTTGTTCTAGTAATACATTATTTTGTCTAACTTAAATTTTAGCATTAAACTGTTTTTCCAAATTGTGTTTTATTGAATAGTTTTGCTGGCATTCACATCTTGGTTGGGCCAGAGACACGGTGCCTTCATTTGGCTCTCCGCATTGGCCATTATTGTGTTTCGCTCTGAATTGTGTCTCTTCTTTGGCCTGATGTTGTTGCTGTCACTCCTGAGCGGGAAACTCCATTTTCTACAGTTGCTTTACCATGCCGTACCTGCTGGTCTTTTATCTTTGGGTCAGTGATGCACAAGTGCTTGTTTTCTGTATTTTCTTAGTATTTTGTTAGTATATACTGTAATTGTCTAAAGCTAAGTTTAGACTTTTCCATTTGTTCATATATTTTGCTTCTCGTCATGCACGGACAAAGACCTTCACAGACTGAAGTGTATTTGCTGTCTTTTGTAGGTCTCACTGTCATGGTTGACACAGTTTTCTGGAATAAGCTGCTCTGGCCTGAGGGTCAGGTACTATGGTACAACACTGTCTTGAATAAAAGCTCCAACTGGGGAATATCCTTTTGCAAAATTCTTTTAAAATGCTTGTAGTTTAAAGGAATAGTTTAGTCAAAATAAAATGTTCTGTCATTGTTTCTCATGACAATCCAAGCCCTTATGACTTCTGTGGAGCACAAAAGGAGGAACTGGTTGCTCTTTTCCAATTACAATGAATGAGCCGGAGATTTCAAAATTTAAAAATGACAAAAAAAAAAGTATTTTTGTATAAATGCAAAAATACTAACAGTCCATACTTTACTAGTCCATAGGACTAACAGGTTTGTGAGGAGAGTGCATTTGTGTGGGATAACATAAATAATGGAAAGGGTGGAGAAAGCTGCTTATTGCATGTACATGCTAGTTAATAAAACTGCTAACAGTGCATATAAACACAAATGCCGTTTTCTTGTCTTGAGCAACTTTCTTGCAATAAACGGTTTTGTTGTGTGCATTGTAAACTCTTACTCAGCGTTTCGGGCTCAGTGGCTCTCAAGGTAATAGCTAAGGCTTTTACAGCTGAATGTGGAAGAAAAACTTGTATTCTGCTTCTGCATTCTTTTTTATGCTTAAAACAATTATCACATGAGTAAATGTGACCAGTAAACTGTTGTGTTCCAAAGAAGAAAAAGTGAACTACAGATTGTAAGCGAAATGAGGTTGAGTAAATGATGACAGAATTTTTTTTAACTTTGGGCCAACTAAACCTTTAAAAACAATGGTAATGCATTACTATTATCATAAAAATACAGCATGATTCTGTCTCCTGTCAAAATTTTGTATCTTTCCTTGACTTCTTTTGTGCCTCAAACTTTCCCTTTTCTGTGGTACTTCTACTCTGCTCTCCCTCGAGCTCTTGGCAGCACAATACTATTTATTCCACTTGGCCTGTTGGATAGACGAACAAGAAAACCGCTCATCGTAACTGTAGGCTTTATTCTGCTGTACTCCTTTCTGCCCCACAAGGAGCTCCGTTTCATCATCTACACCTTCCCTGTGTTTAATATGATTGCTGCCTGCGGCTGTTCCTTTATGTAAGTTGAACGTATTTTGATAGTAATGATTTGGTAGCTGTATTGAATTTTCTTGCATGAAACCCATTTTACTTCTATAATTTGGTGTATTTCAGAGTGAAACACAATAGTGAATGAGAAAAATGTATAAGATTTTATTTTGTCCATTTGAGTCTTTTGATGGGAAATTAAAAACTATGGGTGTACCTGAATAGGGCCAGACTGAATGAGAGTTTGCTAAAACAAAACCTTAGTTGTTAGCATTTTATAGCCTACTTGGCCTAAGTGACATGAGAGCAAAAGGGAATAAATGTAAAAAGAACGTTACAACAGTCCTTTATGTCCCTTAGTAGCAAGCCTAATAAGATAACACTGATAAGGATAAAATATTAGGGATGTAACGATATTATCCATATTGTGATATCGTGATAGCAACACTGTCTCGATATTATCGTGGTCACATATGAAACGTAGGTCTTCTGGGCAAAAAGTGTAGTTTTAAAAATATATTTAAACTTCTTATTTTAACATAAAAGGCCTTTAAAGTTGTGTTTTGGGCCATTATGCTTTGGCACAGTATTTGTCAAACAAAACGGAGCTCTTAATTTTGAACTCTCAAAGTGCATTAGATAGAATAATTTAACTTTAAAATGTACACTATTTTCATTTTTTTCAATTGTCTTTTTAAAAAAAAAAACCTTATAGGAGGAACTGGTTGCTCTTTTCCAATTACAATGAATGAGCCGGAGATTTCAAAATTTAAAAAAGACAAAAAAAAAAAAGTATTTTTGTATAAATGCAAAAATACTAACAGTCCATACTTTACTAGTCCATAGGACTAACAGATTTGTGTGGGATAACATAAATAATGGAAAGGGTGGAGAAAGCTGCTTATCGCATGTACATGCTAGTTAATAAAACTGCTAACAGTGCATATAAACACAAATGCCGTTTTCTTGTCTTGAGCAACTTTCTTGCAATAAACGGTTTTGTTGTGTGCATTGTAAACTCTTACTCAGCGTTTCGGGCTCAGTGGCTCTCAAGGTAATAGCTAAGGCTTTTACAGCTGAATGTGGAAGAAAAACTTGTATTCTGCTTCTGCATTCTTTTTTATGCTTAAAACAATTATCACATGAGTAAATGTGACCAGTAAACTGTTGTGTTCCAAAGAAGAAAAAGTGAACTACAGATTGTAAGCGAAATGAGGTTGAGTAAATGATGACAGAATTTTTTTTAACTTTGGGCCAACTAAACCTTTAAAAACAATGGTAATGCATTACTATTATCATAAAAATACAGCATGATTCTGTCTCCTGTCAAAATTTTGTATCTTTCCTTGACTTCTTTTGTGCCTCAAACTTTCCCTTTTCTGTGGTACTTCTACTCTGCTCTCCCTCGAGCTCTTGGCAGCACAATACTATTTATTCCACTTGGCCTGTTGGATAGACGAACAAGAAAACCGCTCATCGTAACTGTAGGCTTTATTCTGCTGTACTCCTTTCTGCCCCACAAGGAGCTCCGTTTCATCATCTACACCTTCCCTGTGTTTAATATGATTGCTGCCTGCGGCTGTTCCTTTATGTAAGTTGAACGTATTTTGATAGTAATGATTTGGTAGCTGTATTGAATTTTCTTGCATGAAACCCATTTTACTTCTATAATTTGGTGTATTTCAGAGTGAAACACAATAGTGAATGAGAAAAATGTATAAGATTTTATTTTGTCCATTTGAGTCTTTTGATGGGAAATTAAAAACTATGGGTGTACCTGAATAGGGCCAGACTGAATGAGAGTTTGCTAAAACAAAACCTTAGTTGTTAGCATTTTATAGCCTACTTGGCCTAAGTGACATGAGAGCAAAAGGGAATAAATGTAAAAAGAACGTTACAACAGTCCTTTATGTCCCTTAGTAGCAAGCCTAATAAGATAACACTGATAAGGATAAAATATTAGGGATGTAACGATATTATCCATATTGTGATATCGTGATAGCAACACTGTCTCGATATTATCGTGGTCACATATGAAACGTAGGTCTTCCGGGCAAAAAGTGTAGTTTTAAAAATATATTTAAACTTCTTATTTTAACATAAAAGGCCTTTAAAGTTGTGTTTTGGGCCATTATGCTTTGGCACAGTATTTGTCAAACAAAACGGAGCTCTTAATTTTGAACTCTCAAAGTGCATTAGATAGAATAATTTAACTTTAAAATGTACACTATTTTCATTTTTTTCAATTGTCTTTTTAAAAAAAAAAACCTTATTGTGGCCTTCATATCGTGCAATATTATCATATCGTGAGATTTTCATATCGTTACATCCCTACAAAATACCTATGATTTTTGTCCTGTTAGCTTAATATATAAGAACACTAGACATTTCGTTTCTTTTTTGATTAGCAAAAAAGATTGAAGGGGTCATGAACAGCATTTTTTCAATGTTTCCTGAGATTATACTCAGGGTAGGGCTGGACAATAATTCAATATCAATATGTATCGCGATATAATTTTTTTAAATAACGGTGATATGATTTTTAAACACATTTCCGATATTTTGATATACATTACCAGTGTTTCCCATACATTGATTTATTTGTGGCGTTTGACTTCGTTGAATAAACATGAGCGTTGTTTTATATGAATGTATCTCTGAAGGGAACCGACTGTCTTCAGAATAGTTTAGATGGCATTTTTATCTGATAAAGTACCGTTCATGAGCGGAGCTGCTTTGTTTACAGCCATTACTGGAGAAACCGTTAGTTCCACCGCTCTCACAGTGCCTCCTGCTGGCAGGCAATCAGTTTGCATTTTCATTCACCACTCAACATGCTTTTGTTGTTGCTCTATTTTTTTGTTTTCTGAAGCAACTCGGAGCATGTTTCATACTCGTTATCCTGGTTAATGCACGTTTCAATCTATAAAAATAATCAGCCTACACTAACAGTCAAAGGGTTTTGAACTGCAAGATTTTTAATGTTTCTTAAAGGGGTCCTATTATGCTCTTTTCCAAAGTCTTGATTTTGTTTTGGTGGTGTACTAGAACTGGCTCTCATACTAGGTTGTTTGAAAAACACATTATTTTTCACATTTTAAATTATTACAACACCTCTCTCCCCAGTCTGGCATGAACGGTGTTATAATCAATGATACAGTTTACACCACTCAACAAATCTCTTATTACACTGTGTTTTCACTATGTTAGTTATACCGTGGCAACAAATGGGACAAACAAATCTGATGTCAAAATAGATCTTGGAGTGTAAATGCAGACTGATAGACTTGCCACTTGTTCTGTATGAGTTTCTTTGTTCTTCATTTTATTACTAACTTTTCACTTGACCTTTTTAAAGCAATTTTTACTTAATTGAAAAATATTTGAAGGCTGCATGCTGTTTTAATGATTAATGCTGTTTTAATGGATTATTTACTTTTTAAAACTATTATTCTATCTTCATATTTTAACTAGTTTTCAAATAGAACATTATTAAACTTAATTAAAAAATATTGAATTGAAATTGAATTGAAGTTACAATAAAATGGAAGTAGAGACAGAGCTTTTGTTTTTATATTGTGATGTACATCCGAGTATAACAGATTATTGAAAAAAAGAAAAACTTTTGGATGGGGAATTCTATGCATCAGTTGTTGATTGGTTAAGATTTGTCAGACTGATTTTAAATGTGCCAGTTGAACTCAAAAGTGGAGGAAAAGGAAGTTTGCAGGTGGAGAATTCCTGCATACGTCACCAGAGAGAGAGTTTTCTCTGAAAAGCCCTTTTATTATATTTTGATTAAACATTACAAGGTCAAATTTTTTAAACGTAAAAGAATCTGAAATACATTACCCTAATTTCTGAAATACACGAACCTTGTTTTGTGTGGACGTACTGTATTATTTGTCAGTGCTTCTGAATTTCAGTAAATGATGGGCAGTTTTAGTTAACACAACCCCTAGTTATGCTGGCTAACTTTTACTTGATTTTATAGATACGGCTATTCATTTTGCTCTAATTGGTCCTGCACTCCTATAGATAATTTTAATGCACTTTAGTATCAGATTGGTCTATCAAAATAATACAAAATCTTGCAAATGAGTTGTTTGTTTGTTTTTATTTTATTTAAAAGGGACAATACACATTAATTAACATGAGTAAACAAGTCTACTATGTAAATGTGCCAGATTTAATCATTCAGGCTAATTTTCATCTGCAGTCCCTGGCAGGTTGATGGTAAGAACCATAATCCACAAATACACAAAGCAGAAACAAACATATTACAAAAACCAGAATACAATAAATAAAAAAAATACAGAAAAAAAACACTACTACAAATTATGATGACATATTTGATTATCCAATAACCACCCTTTTACCGATTCAGAAAAAGGAGCAAGAGATATAATATTTCTTAATTCTATGGGTATAGTATTCCAAGTATGTACTGCTCTATAAGAAAATACTGATTGCCCAAAAGTAGTACATCTATGTGGTATTATACAGTCCCCTCTAGTAGTGGCTCTAGTAAAAGAATTCAAATTTTCCTGATAAATCTATTAAGTGGGAGCAGAGCCAAACCATGCAAAATTTTGAACACAAGTAAAATATCTGCAAATTTAATCATTTTCCCAAATTAAAAACCCATATTTAGTTAAAATTTCACAATGATGATATGAATGAGACATTTTATCCAATATTTTCAAAGCCTGCTTATAGAGTCTTTCTATTGATTGCAAAATAGTCCCACCTGTCTGTGTCCAACTGATGAGACAGTAATTCATATGTGAAAAAAAAATCATAGCATTAATGTTTAACTTTGAGGCCTCAGCGGTTAAATTATTCCTAAAATATCAAAAATTTGCCAAATTAAATTTTATTCCCAACTATTTTAATAGTTTAAAATAGTTTTTTAAATGTAAGTTGTGAATCAAGTATTATACCTAGATATTTATACTCTTGAACTACTGATAA